TGCAAACAGTGTGCAGGCTCCAGAAAGACAAAATCCTTTAATTTTCCATCAGTGTCCGCTATTTTATCTCATAGTCTTCTGCTTCCTGACAAAAGGTACCATGTCACATGGGTTCTCAGACAGATTGAATTCTCATTTTACGTATGTACAGGCACACATTCACAGTAGTCAGGAACATGGCAACTTGGTGTTGTGTTTGTTATCTTGATATACTTTTATTTATCTCTCTTTTTTCTTAATGTCATTCGATCTCTGTTTTTCTCTACCTGTCTCTACCTGTATGTCTCTGTGTATCTGACTCTCGTTTTGTGTGTGTGTGTGTGTGTGTGTGCATGTGTTTTAGGCTATGAATTACCAGTGCCACAGAAAACCTGCCTAGGTTAAGTGGTATTACCTTCTCAACATACTTCTACAACAACCACAGAGTACCTACAGACAATCTGAATTCTCATAACTTCTTTTCAGCTTGATTTCTCCATATAACATGTCCAAAATATATGGAGTTTAAAAATGGGGTCTTACCTTCATGCTTCAAGGAGCAATTTAGGGTAATGTCAATAGCCTATATTAGTTTGGTAGTCTCTTGGATGGCCAGGGCCAATTATTCAAAGAGAGGTATCACATGCATGAAACTGGGATTTTTGATAGATAACAAGTGCTTATTGACAGGAGCAATATCATCCTATACAGTGGAACTCCATTTAAAACAGCCATTTGATTTTCTTTGTCTTCACCTTATTATTTAGCTTCTCTAGAATCATGAACTGTAGGTTCAGTGTCCTTTGTTTATGACTAAAATCTACTATGAGTGAGTATGTACCATATTTATCTTTTTGGGTCTGGGTTATCTCACTCAGTATAGTGTTTTCTATTTCCACCCATATGCATGCAAAATTCAAGATGTCATTGTTTTTGTTTTTGTTTTTTTTTTTTTTTTCTGCTGAGTGGAACTCAAGTGTGTATATGTGCCATGCTTTCTTTATCCATTCTTCCATTGAGGAGCATGTAGGTTGGTTCCAGGTTCTGGCTATTATAAATAGTGCTGCTATAAACATAGTTGAACAAATATTTTTGTGGTATTATTGGACATCTCTTGGGTATATTCCCAAGAGTGGAATTGCTGGATCCTGAGTTAGGTTGCCTCCCAGTTTCCTGAGAAACTCCCACACTGATTTCCAAAGTAGTTGTACAAATTTTCATTCCCACAAGCAACAGGAGGATGAGTGGATCCTCCTTGAAACTGGAAGCAGGTAAAATCACCGTGCAACATTTGGGTGCATAGGGGTGCAGGTGGGGCGGGGAGAAAGGGAGAAGGGGATAAAAAAGGGAGAAGGGGAGGATTGGGGAGTGCTTGTGGGAGTGTGGTGGTTGAGATGGAGGAAGGGCAGATGTGGGAGCAGGGCAGAAGATATCTTAATTAAGGGAGCCATTTTAGGGTTGGCAAGAGACTTGGCTCTAGAGGGGTTCCCAGGTGTTCAAGGGGATGTCCCCAGCTAGGTCCTTGGGCAGTAGAGGAGAGGGTGCCTGAACTGACCTTTTCCCATAGCCTCACTGATGAATATCTTGAATATCACCATAGAACCTTTGTCTGGCAATGGATGGAGATAGAGACAGAGACCCACATTGGAGCACTCAACTGAGCTCCCAAGGTCCAGTTGAAGAACAGAAAGAGGGAGATGAGGAAGGAAGTCAGGACACCGAGGGGTTCATCCACCCACTGAGACGGTATGACTGTTCTAATGGGAGCTGACCAAGGCCATCTGGACTGGGACTGAACAAGCCATTTTGAAACTGCATTCCTGCTACCACTGAATTAGTAAGACCTCTCTTAAAAGAGCGACAGCATGCCACCTCAAGCAAAGCCCATTTGGGAAAAAAATGTGGCTAAACTTTGTTTTTTAGTGTCTAGAATTTCTTTTCAAGCCCTTTCAGGTTTTATATGGATTTAGTCCACAGCATTGGGTGCTAATTTGCGGGGGGAGGGCCACTTGTTGTTTCCCAGCTACCCAGCTAGCTTAGATCCAAAATAATCACACAGAAACTGTATTAGTTAAATCACTGCTTGGTCCAGTAGTTTTAGCTTCTTATCATCTAATCTTATATTATTTTAACTTACTTTTATTATTCTGTATATTACCACCTGGCTGTGGCTGACCAGGTAAGGTTCCCAGTGTCTGTCTCTGGTGGCTCCATGGCTTCTTTCTAACTCTGCCTTCTTCTCCCATGGTATAGGCCAAGCCAGTTTATTCATTAACCAATAAATGCAACACATAGACATAAGGACCTCCCACACCATTTGTATCAAAGCCTAGATTTAATTTTCTGTCGGTTTACCAAGCTTATAGTATCCCAGTACACAACATGGTGGGCAGAGTTAGGAGAAGTATTGCAAGTAGCCCCTTCCTTTTTACATACATTAATGTACCATGTATTTAATTATACTACAATGAGAAACTTTACTTTTTTTTTTACCCATTTCCTTAGCTGTGGTTAATAGCTGTGCATCTTCATGTGACTATAAAGAAATAATCACTCAGAATAATACTGAGCCAAAATACTGTTTTACTTCTCATTTTTATTAATTTCAAATAGGCATTGTAAACCGTAGGTGATACTTAAATGAATATTTAAAATGTTAAACTTTTATTTTCTGTATGCTTGTGTATTTTTATTAATGCAACCGTGTAGATACAAAGAATAAAGTTTGGAGGTCAGAAGAGCTAATTCTCTAGTGATACCTTATGAAATCCAGAGGTAAAGTTCTGGTAATCAGTCTGGATGTAATAGTTTCTGCCCTGAGCCAGCCCATAAATAGATATTGTGAAGAATATCATGCCAGGGCCAAATATGTAGGGCTAATAATATTCAACTGAGACAAAGAAGAGCAAGAAAGATTGAAATGAAAAAGATCATAATACTGAGTAAGGGTGAGAATATAAATCATTGTTCATGAGAACCTGTGCTCAATACCCACAAATATGAATATAAATGAGTGAAATGTCCAAAACACATAAGAGCTGTGTTTATTTCAATAATAATCTACCTTCATAAGTATGCATTTAAATATGAATTGTCTAATATGGAAAGTAAATATAGAGACTTGTGGTACATTAAACACAAGGACCAATGGGGTTATCTAAGAGGTTCCTAACACATACAGGGTATTCCTCTTTGCTTCCCTCCAAGAGGCACAAGTTTAGACCTTATTCCTGAGGACATAATGCAATATAGAAACACAATCCAGAGGCTCTGGAGTTGGAACTGAATCGAATTCCTCTTTTTCTGAGAACTATCCTTACACAACAAAAAGGAAATATAAAAAATTTAAAAGTCGAGGAGCAGTCAATTGTTTAATTCACGTATAAACGATAGTAATGTCCAGCATGTCATGATAATCATAAGGATAAATAGTGGTACTCACACCTAGGAAATGACAAACAGCTTTCAATTACACTTAAAATGAGCTCATTTCATAAATGAAATCATGTCTAGTGCTGAAACCTAGCCATCGACACAGGGCTACCCAAGTAATTGATCTTGGAGGAGAACATAAAACCACCATTGGGCTGAAGCAGAAAAACTGTTAGCTACAACCTAGATTTTTGTGCTCATATGCATTGTTAAGTATAGTTCCTACCCCTCATCAAAGACACTTCTTTTTGTTACAGAGACTGATACAGAAAACCACAAGCAATCAAAATACAGTTGTGGAGGTCAGATCTTGTACATATGTCTAAAATTCAATTTATGCACCAAAGACTTTGGTATCATTAAATAACATGTGAGGTGGGTGGAAGAAAGCCATTTAGAGCAAGAGGATCTAGAAGTTTGTTGTGAGATTGTGTCTTTGGGTAATATCAAAGCTACACCTATAGAGTCTCACCAATGTGTATTACTAAATATGAACTGAACAAAGACAAACTAGATGGGGATACAATCACAAGGCCTGGATCCTACAGAGAAAACTACAGATAATTAAGGAATGTTGAAAGTGGGAGAAATAGTCTTCCCCTAGAAAGAGCACACCAGCTGCCTGTAAAGTGTCAAGTATGAAAGCAAGTAACATAGACAGGCACAATATTATATTATATTATATTACATTATATTATATTATTATATTATACATATGATGTATGTTTGTTCAAATGTAACAATCATTCTTCGACGTGCATACCAATATTTTTGTTACAGTCTTCCAATTCACAATCTAAATTTTAATTCAGGATAGAAATTTGTATAGTGCTGACATCTGATCCAAAGATTTATGATTGAGTAGGAAATGGATAAAGCAGAGTAAGGGACCTTCTGGGTCTTTATTGATTCTCAGTCCTCTACTCAAAATTACTTAACAAAATATTTTGGGTTTTCCCCTTTTATATGTCCATATTATGCTCTCTTAATAATGCTTCATTTGAAATTATCACATACCTGAGCTTTAAAATTGGGACAGCATTTTATAGAAAAATGTTACTAAAATAAGCATAATTCATAATATAGCATAAATTTGAAGCATGGTTGATTTCAAGGGAACCTGCTCTAAAGAATTTTTTGGAAATTTGTCTTAAAGAATTAGGCATTCAGGGAGACGTAGATCATGGCAAAGAAGAGACGAAGAGAAATGAATTGACCAAGGAATGCTAAGAAAGGCCTTGTGAAGGGAACCTCAGATGACATTCTCCCTCTCCCTTCAGATGTGCATGGATGTTAACAGATCTCAATACAGTTCCTGACCAGACTCTTCCAATGTGGAAAAAGACAGATACAGTGAATTTGAAGGCAAGGAAATCACTTGGTGAGAAGAGATTTAAGACAGACTTCTCTTGAAAATGCATATTTGTTTACTAAACAATTTATGTAAGAAAGAATATAGCTACATAGATTCTTCAAAACCTATAGACATTAATAAGAACTGGCATTGTAAGAAATATCTGTTTAACTCTTGAAACAATGAAAAATGCTGTGAAAAATTTTAGTAAACTATAACAATTATTTAACTTCTATAAATTTCAGTGCATAAGAAATGTAATCCATTTCTGCATTTTTTTATGCCTTATGATGAAGGAAAGATTTCTCATCAGTGGGAGCAATCCATGTACCCAGAGCACATATAGGGAGTCCCTTGAAATGGACTTGATGACCCCCTGTGTAAGACAACTTCAGATATGATGCAGTCAGCGCTTCCATAAAGTTTTCGGTCACTCTACTTCCACACAAAAGGTTGTTCTTTTTAAAAATTGATTGAATTCAGGTGACAAACTGAACAAGGTTGTGAAAATAATTCGCACATATGAGAAAAAATCTTTCTCTCAAAACTGCTTCTGTCTCATCAGAGCATCTCTGCACTACAGTGGTTCACGTTCCTCAGTCTTTCTTGGACAGGCCCTCTCTCCACCTTCATTCTCAGGAGTGTCCTGCAAGGCTCTCTGAAGTAACAGCTTCAGAGACTTCGGCTGGAACCTGCGGTGCCTGATGGAGCCAATGAGGAAGTAAATGATGGGGTTGGCACAGCTGTTAACACAGGATAGGAGTGACACAATATTATTATCAAGATTGCAAATTTTAGCATAATCCAAATCTCCAAACCATTTGACTAGGTGATAGTAGATGCCCAAGGGGAAACCAAAGATCAGGGAGAACAGCACTGTGAGTACAATGATCACACACAGCCTGGTCACAGGGATCCGCTGTGAGCCACAGAAGATCCTCACCAGCAGGGTGAGGCTGGACACACAGAGTACCACAAATAAAACAATTAACCAGGAAGCTGTGAAGTAATTTAATGTCTGACACTGAAAAGAGTCAAGATTATTAAACAGAAAGCCACACGCTGCCCCATGCAGGAGACTCAAGAGCAGGGACAGAGCCCAAAGCAAGGCACATGTGACAGCTGATGTGTACCTTGGGCGTTGGCAGCGATACCAGATGGGCCACAAAACAGACAGGCAGCGCTCAACACTAATGGCACTAAGAATGCTGAGGCCAGAAACATAAGCAAGTTTTTTCACAACAAAAAGAAATGAGTAGACATAGATGGAAATGAAGGGGAAGGTGGAAATGAAAAAAAAACTCAGGAACAGAAAGTCAGCCATAGCCAGGTTAAGAATGTACACAGAGAAGGCATTCCTGCACAATTGGAAGCCCAGAATCCACATCACTATGGCATTTCCTGCTATCCCAACCAGGGCAAAGATGATGAAAAGATAAAATATAGATTGGACTATGATTTCACAATGTGAAGAAACATTGTAGGTGCTTCCATTTAGTGCTGTGATGGTAGTCTCCCAGGTTGAGATGTTGGAATCCTTGCTTAGGAAATCTCCGCTAATGCTCCTAGAACAAAAAATAAAAGGACATGAGCACATGCTTTGTACTCTGACACCCAGGACTACCCTGCTCTTTGGTAATGACTGAGCTGGTTCATGAGGAGAAGAAACAGGATTGGGTAGATTAAATAATTCATCAAATCAAATACTTCTGAAGCCTTAATTTAAATCCAGTTTGTATTTTTGGGCTATGTACAACCCATGCCCTGTACTCATATAAGAGTAGATGATCATGCAGTAGAGATATTCAGTGTCACTGACCACATGAGAATAAACAGAACAATGAAGTCAAAATTCCATCTGTCCTAAAACTGGTCCTTCCCTGGTACAGAAACTTGAAAGCCAGAAGCATGACCATCCACTAGTCTCAGTCTTGGCAGGGAAGGCTGTCAAATGGGAAAACGTGGAAATCATGAAAGAGAGATGAAGGAAATGACAAATTTTGCTAAGACCAGTATGAAAAGAAGCAAACCTACAGACAAAGCTAATAAGTCTCCATTTCAGATTTGAAACTAGAAATCATGAAAGTCTTTGAAAATATTAAGTATGTTGTTTGTTGCTATATCACAATTATATAT